TTTTGAATCAAATGACAATGAATAGAAGCAAAGCTTATATGACCTCAGCACAAAAATGACATCCCTTTCCGTTTCATTATCTACCGTATTTTGGACCATACAACATCAAATCTATCACTCAGTGTTTTCAAAATGGTAATCTCTTAGCTGAGGGTGGTGGCGCAACTTTAAGTTGTAGCCATAGGCTGTAGCTTAACGCCGCGACTGGGACCATGTGGCTTTATGAGACTGGGGGCCATTTTTGTTTCCCGGTCGCCAATTTCATTGTGGGATTTTAGATGTATAGTACTCGTTTTTTAATTCTGTTTGTCATTGTATTCTAAATGTTTTTAATGACGAAATAAATGATATATCAGTGGCAGATCCAGGAATTCGAAATAGAGGGGTGGTTGGCTTGGCTGTTTTGGTGGCCTGATTCTCTGGCGAGTGTTTAAAGCCGTTTGAAAGTAATCGGTGCATGTTGTTTCCATGGCACTTATTTTAATTATTTAAAATGGATAGTGCACAAAATATGTTTAAATAAAAACCACTATATAAAATGAGTTTGATGAGTTTGAAAACAAGGAACACGTTTACTTTGGGAATGAACTTGTATTGGTTTTAGTGGCTCACCTATTTGCTTATTGTCTGCGAAATTATTCAAAATGTGCACGTGGACATAAAGTTGAGGGTCCACTTCACTTCTTTTTTTCTCTGTCCTAATTTATGAAACCGAAAGAAAAGAACAGCTCACAAATGTCGACACATTTGTAACCCATGTTTTAGCCGAAGACTCTTTATCTTTTAATTTTAATTTTATATTTGATTTATTAAAGTTCATTTGGATCAACTTGGCGAACTTTTAAACAGAAGACATCCGTTATTTAGTTATGTTCAACAATTTTTAACAAAATCTAAAAGATTTACAGGTTGAGTTATGTGTTTTATTGCTGCGAAGCAGCCAATTCATATTCTTGACAGCAATTTGACCTCTGAAAGGTCGTTGTTTGTCAAAAAACGAGTGCCTAAGACGACTGAAAAGCGGAGTTTCCTTCTTTCGTTGTGCCGGGTAAAATCAATTAATTTAGGCGACGTTTGTAGACTAACCTACTCGTACCAACGTCCGCATGTCGCGCTAGCCTTATCCTACTCTAGGCCTAGACTAGCTGGATGGTATAGGCCTAGCCTTGAAGACGAAGGTCCCAATGAAAAAACATTGTCTATTTAACATCACAATATTCATTATTAGACCTATAGTTGTTTTTTGAATTGTACTCCACAAATCTCCGCCGATACCTCGCACAACTGGCTAACGTCTCTATCTATTGTCGTGACGTTAATTATGGCTCGCTGGCTCACACTTGTGATATGTCTCGCACTTGTGATCAAATAACACGCTGGCTCGCACTTTGGCAACACTCTTTGGCAGTCAACTCGCCCCTAGGAAACCCGCCCTTGGAAACTTGCCCCATAAAAAAATGTACACTTCCTAGACCATGCAGTCTTCAAAATAAAAATTGTAACCTTTGGTAATCAACTACATTTTCCACATACATAGAATTTTTTGAAACTTTATTTTAAAAAAACCTAAACCATAATTCACCACACTATAGACACTTTTTGACAAAAATGAAAAATTACGACTTTGTTACCCAATGAGAAGTGTTCTAATATAGACAATGAGTCGTGTCTCATATTATTTGTTATAG